GTCGTGCTGGGGAGGGTTCGGGACTCGAGGCAGCGGCGGGACGGGAGCAGCGCTGCCGGCCGCGCGTGCTCATGTCGCCCGTCTGCATTCCGCGCTCCTCGGGCGCTTTCGGGATGAGTTTTCCCTGGAAAACACACGGACGTGTTTCTTTCTGGTGTTCAAACTGCGCAGTCTACCTTTTCAAATATGGCTCCGAAAAGTGCTCTCCTAGAGCGGCCCCTCTTGGGGGTTTAAGAGTTTGTTGGTTTTGCCCCGGGGTTGGAGTTGGGGCTCTGGATTGAGCCAAAGGCTATAGGAAAGAATGGAAGATCAAGAAGGGAAAAACTTCTGTAGCTGGAGAGTAGAAGAATAGTGATTAGTGACTGCATGCACGAGTATTTCATACATGGGTGGGGGGGAACCTTTTTTCTAGAGTGTTTTTCCCCTTTACTTTCCTGTTTTGTGCTCTTCTGCTTCCATTTCCATGCATTGGTTTGTGCTGATAGAGATTTTGCAGGCTGTTAATGTTGTTTAAGTTTTTTAGATATGTATCCTTGGGGTGAGTGTTCCTAAGGAAAACGGGGCCAAACAGTTGGCCAAGCCGTGATGTAAATACTTTGAAGTTCAGGAGCTACGCATATGGGTAACTTTATTTTTTATGTAAGAGTCACTATTTTTTTTTCTTATTATTCCAGATGGAAAAGAAGAGTTCATGGTTTCTGGTTGCTATAAAAGCAGAGGCATAAAGGAGAGACTAGTGTGTGGATGAGAAGCGTAAAGCCCCTTGAGAGGCTTTGTCCTACAAAAAAAAAGAAGAAATGAATCCCACTACCGATGATACAGGGCTCGGGACCATGTTTGCCTGGGACTATCTCTTATGGGAAGTTCGTCTGACATTTATAGCTGCTGGGTTTTTGATCTACCTGGGAGTTTTTCTCCTGTCTCACTGGCTGTCGTCATGGATAAGTAGCACTTACCGTGCCTTGCATGCAAAGGAGAAGGTGTTCTGGAACATGGCAGTCACGCGTGGCGTGTTTGGACTTCAGAGCTGTGTCGCTGGTGTGTGGGCTCTGCTCATGGATCCTGTTTTTCATGCTGACAAAGTATATTCTCAGCAGCAGTGGAGCTGGTTTAATTGTTTAATAGCTGCTGGCTTTTTCTTGCTTGAAAACGTAGCTGTTCACTTGTCCAACATTGTTTTTAGAACATTTGATGTGTTCTTAGTAGTTCATCACCTCCTTGCTTTTGGTGGCTTGGCTGGTCTAGTAATTAACGTAAAATCTGGACACTATCTACCATTGATGGGAATGCTGCTGGAGATGAGTACTCCCTCAACCTGCATTTCCTGGATGCTTTTAAAGGTAAGAAGTTGATAATTTGAAATTATGTTTGTAGCAGTTTTTATGCATTTCACTGGCACACAGCAATCTCTGTGGTTTTGTCTAGTTTTGCACTGCGACTGTGCTCGTCTGATAGCCATGCTGCTGTGATACCTGCTTTTGTCCTGATCACAATCTCATAGGCCTCCATATAACTTTCTACATGATGCTATATGCATGTGGATGCCTTGCATTCATTCTGAACTGGGGGTGCTGCATATTTGTGGAATATCATAGCTGTGCATGTAAAATGCCTGAGAGTGTGTGTGTATTCATAGCTGGATTGCCTTAGTTCTAGACAGTGTTCGCTTCCTTATTTTTATGTAATAATTTCACTTCTGCAAACTTTCTGTGTTTATTTTTTCTTTCTTTCTTTTTTTTTTTTTAGGCTGGCCGCGCTAATACGTTTTTCTGGAAGGCAAACCAGTGGGTAATGATCCACCTGTTTCACTGCCGCATGATTCTCACTTATCATATGTGGTGGGTGTATATTGCCAACTGGAATAACGTGATGGAAAACCTGGGGCTTCTTCATTTTTTGGTTATGTTTTCGGGATTATTTGCAGTCACACTAATACTTAACCCGTACTGGACATACAAAAAAACTCAGCAGCTTCTCAGCCCAACTGACTGGAACTTTGAAAATAAAGCAGTGAAAAATGGAAAATTAAATGGAGATACATATCAAAAGAAGAGGATATGACATTGAAACAGCTGTCTCCTAAGATAACAACAGAATACAGCAAAACAAAACGCAAAGTAATTTACTCATGAAATAGAAGCCTTTGCAAGAATCTCATTAGCACGATGATCCCTTGCTGTTAGTATTTTATGCATCAGAAGTATTTAAAAGTCTGCATTGTCTCTAAAAAAGTCTTAAATTGTCTATTTAATATATAAGTACATGTAAGATCTTTTAAGGTCTTAGTTGAACAGTATTTTATTATTTAGCAGGCTCTCTAATGGTATCTTTTAACAATTCCATGTGACTTGATAGTTAACTTATCTGTTAAGCCTAGCTTGCATCAAGTTAGAATGAATCCCATTTCATGTGTGCTGCAGATACCAATGCTGAATAATGCGTTAGGAAGCTTATTAAAATCAATTATGACCCAAGTTAGGTATGCAGAGGTACCTAGTTTCTGTGTGCCACTAAATCCATCTGAATGGTTGAACTGATCATAGGGCAGAATGCAGTTGTAGCTGGGCTTCTGTTGGTGCGTTTTTTTCTGTTTAAGTGCACTTGATGAAAAGATGATCATTTAGAGCATTCACTGTCAGGGTGTCACAGAGTTTCTAAGTTGCCCTCCGACTGGACAAAATTCCTCTCTACCACAAACGTATATGTGGTAAGGAGTGAGGATGCAGATCTTTTTGCTGCTGGGCTAGTTAGGTAACTATCATGGTTGTGTCTGGACTGGAAATCTGCGAAATGTAACGATAAAACTTTTGGCTCTATTCATCCTTAAAAGGCTTGCTGGTTGTTAGCTAAAACTCCTTATTTTTGGTCCCAAGTGAACAGTCCTGCCATTCATTCCACTTGTGCCTCTGTTATGGTTGTTTTTTAGTTTTGGAAATCCTCTGTTATAGAGGGTTAGAATCTAGGATGGCTCCTCTTTAGAGGGAAACTCTTGTAATGTAAGTTAGAAGTTCAATTGTTCTCTTAGTATTTTTGTTTTATGTTGGAGAACATATAAAATGAGGCTAGTAATCCTTTGCACTTTATCTACCACAGCACTATACGTTTCCTTGACCTAGGGAACAGAGTTCTTTTTTAGATAGGAGCTTTGCAATTTGTGATGGATGTTCTTCCACAAATGATATTAGGCTGGTTGTTCCTGCCTGGAA